TGGCAGTAAAGCAGATGCCCATTTAAAAAATGTCAATGGGTTTAAAAAGAATATATATATAAAGTAGAACACAACCAACGCATTTGATGAAACAAGTTTTAATCTTATCAAGTCATCCTCTTCATTCCTCGCCTCATTCAGACGCTCTTGAGTTTAAGGACAACCTCAGTCTCCTTGGGGAGGAACTCCCTGCAAAAACACACAGAGGAAAAAAAAAACAACAAACTCAATGATCAGGGTATGATACGGGCATTAGTGGAATAGGGTCTTCCTTGTTTATTCAATGCATTCCCATTCCCAAAACCCAGTACAAACTTCAGAAAGGGTGGATCCCAAAAGGGATGGTCTGGTCAGGTACCCCATCATGCAATAAAGACAAGGATGTGTGTGTGTGTGTGTGTGTGTGTGTGTGTGTCTCACCTGAATGGTATCTTTGCCTGTTTAAACATCCGTTTGGCGGCTTGTGTTTCCAGAGAAGTATTGTACTTATCACAAAGATAGACGACTTCCTTCATACCTGGATACAGAAATAACTTATTAATCTTTATAGCAGAATCATGGCAGTTAAAGTAAAAGAGAGAAAAGGAGAATAAGAAGTGGAGTAACTCAGAATAAATCTGTCATCAGTATTGATAGGGACAACATTTTTGACTGATGGGAGTGAAAGCAGCACTCAGTTTATTCAACTGTAAAAGTGCATCAAAATATTTGTTCACTCGAATCAATGAATCAAATGTTTGCCATAATGATAATGATCAGTCTACCAATAGTTACAACTGACTGAAGTGTGTGTGTGTGTGTGTGTGTGTGTGTGTGTGTGTGTGTGTGTGTGTATGTGTGTGTGTGTGTGTGTGTGTGTGTGTGTGTGGTGTGTGTGTGTGTGTGTTTGTATGTGTGTGTGTGTGTGTGTGTGTGTGTGTGTGTGTGTGTGTGTGTGTGTGTGTGTGTGTGTGCGTGCTTATGTATGTATGTATGTGTGTGTGTGTGTGTGTGCGTGTGTGTGTGCGTGTGTGTGTGTGTGTGTGTGTGTGCGTGTGTGTGTGTGTGTGTATGTGTGTGTGTGTGTGTGTGTGTGTGTGTGTGTGTGTGTGTGTGTGTGTGTGTGTGTGTGTGTGTGTGTGTGTGTGTGTGTGTGTGTGTGCGTGCTGCAGTGACCCACCAGCCTGGATGATCAGCTTGGCACACTCGTTGGAGGGGAACAGGGTCACATAGATGGAGCAGCCCTTCACATCAGCGCTGTTCTTGTCCATGATGGCGTTGAGCACTGCGTGGCACACTGCGGGACAGAGGGGGAGAGGGGGAGACGGGACCCATCAATAGAGGGCATGCAAGTGCCTTGTCTGAAATGTATTTAGGTTGGAGAACAAACAAGTTATAAACAATCAGACATGCATGATATACATATGCTCCAATGATAGTGTGATTTCTTTATCACCGAAGGAATAGACCTCTCCTAACACACCATCGACACCCCTGGTGACATCCATAATATTGTACATTTGGTAGGACATCTGCCCAATGAAACAATGAAAATAAAAGCTTAACGTCTCTATTGTGTCATTCTATCCATCCCTTCTATACTTGCAACAACAACAAAAGATGAATCCTTTGTATAAATCCAACTATAATATTATCATTCCTCACCACCATCACATATGTAAAAAATATACATTTCTCGCAAACATTTTTATCATAAGGCATTTTAATGGTAAAACTATTCTACATTTTGGATTTTCCAACAAACTGTTTGATTTCAGAAAAAAATGAAATCTAAAAGTTAAGCAAAAAGGATGAAGTGTGTGTGCGTCCTCACCATAAATGTATTTGGTGTCCAGCTTAGTTTCAGCAGCAGCAGCAGCAACCTTGGCAGCAGTAGCAACGGTGAGGTCACCGCCAGCAGCATAAACAGCAGCAGCAGCATCTTCACCTTTAGAGCGGGACCACGGCATGTGATCTTCACAGCCGTTTGGCATCTTATTGTAACCAACGCCAACTACCTTTTTGTCCTGGTTCACAATACACGCCCCAACCTGCAAAGGGGGTGAGGTGTTCCAGAGTTTAGTCTAGCTGAACTTCTTTTAAATACCAAACATTACATTGCATCATGAAATAATCCAACATCAGATGCAACAACCTGCTGCCCTCAGGAGAAAGTCACACACTCTAAAGGCCCAGACATTTTAAGGATCACTTTAAATTCTGAACATCCATTCCTTCAACCGTCATTATCTAATACACACCAGCACTCAGCTTGAATGAATTTGCGAAGATCTTTTTGAAAATGTTTCTCTGTGTTTGTTGAAGATTTAAGAGCCTGTTATTAGATTATTATTAGTACTGCAAAATGAATCTACTTAATGCAATAAAAACCTCCAAGAGTTCTGCCAAGATGGAAGAGGGAATATGTTTAGTTAATCCAGATTAGAGTACTACATCGGCGATAGGGCTTCACGTACTACATATATTTATTAATAATTGATCGAATATTTTACATTTTTACTTCCAGAATAATAAAACAATTGTTCCACAGAAATAAATATCAACAACTGCATCATTAATATTTTATTTGACATGTCGATCACTTATTAGTGAAGATTTAAAAAGGTTCACTGTGAAACACACCCACACACACACACACACACACACACACACACACACACACACACACACACACACACACACACACACACACACACACACACACACACACACACACACACACACACACACACACACACACACACACACACGCACACACACACACGCACACACACAAACCTGTGTGCTTGGGTCTCTGCTCTGCCTTGCTGACAGAACGGCTGCAGCCATGAAGTAATCTTCAGGTTCCATGAAACCTTTTCTAGCCCCGTTGCTACAGACAAACACACAACAAGACAGACATTATGTAAAGTTGATTTTTTTTTTCTCTTTAATCACAAGACGAACATGTTTTGGAAACTTTCCATGTGAAATCTGAATTCCTTTCTGATTTTGACATTCATCAAAATATAGTTAAACAGTCTACTACTCCTACACACACCAGTGGAACAGGCTGCAGTTGTTACTGATATCTCCCTTCTGTCCTTTGGGTTTGAGCAAAAGCTTTGCCTGGAAGTACGGTTTTGCTTAATTTCGGTCAAATCAGTTTTGGCAGCATGTCCAGCAGCTCTTTGACTTGTGACTTTACCTAAAAGTAAGTCATATAGATAAGCATCTGAACTTTATTTTAATAAAGTAATAAATATGTTCTTATGAAATGCAGGGAGCAGCAACTTCCTGGTTGTGAGTTTTTACTTACTTGATAATAAAAACATGTTTCAGCATTAGTGCTGACAGTAGGCTTACTTATTTATCAAAAGTATACTGTAACAAATGAAGATGTAACATATAACTTATTACATCCACTCAAGTACTTTCAAGTTATTTTAGCTTAGCATTTCAGAGGGAAATATTTTACGCTTTAACACTTTATATTATTGCTTTCAACTAACCCAATTAGGTGAAATCTGAACATAATACATATAATTAAAGTCAAGGTTTCAGTTTTTTCAGTGCTTTCTCTCGGGGATGTTCGGGGCTCTCATATTGAAAGTTTACAAACAGTTTGAACTACTTACTCATTAGGTTGAGCTGGTTTTCCTGCCATAGTGTTCTGATGCTGGACCCCTCACAGTCTGTGCCTCTCTCTGGACTGTACGCTGCTGACAGTTAGTTGAACGTTAAGTTAGCGGTGGAAGAAAGCTCCACCTCAAATGACGTCAACACAGGATAGGTTCTTCCTGGTTGCCGCCCTTTAAATACATGTTTAGAGCCTCGCCTACGGGGCTTATTTTCTTGCACTTAAGCTTGCCAATAAAAAAAGTATCTATTAAACAAAGGTCCTTAATCCTCTGAGTTGACAGAATATATATAGTAGGCCTACTCTGGCCATTCCAGATAGTCTTCGCGCTACAGACAAACACTTAAAGAGACAAAATAATTAAATAAAGTTGAATTTTTTGGAGACTTTCCTCATTTCTGAGCAGTGACTCTTCATGTCCACACCTATCCAGGTTCCTGTTTGGTCATTTAAATTGATGGTTAGGTTTCATATCATGGTTGGCCTAATTGAATAAGCTGATGAATTCAATTTAGCTTATAAACTTGTCATAAAAAATACTTTCTAAAATAAAATAAAAGCTTTACTGCCAGGTAGATTGAGTGAAACGAAGAAAAACGACTTCACTGATCATGCAAGAGAACCGGTGTTTCTCCTGGTTTGGTTTTTAGATATGAAACAACTAGGTGTGTCTTGTTCTTGTTCTATCAGATGTTTAATGATTCCACATGTTTTTACACATTCCTGTTTAGATTCGGCCTCATGTTTGTTCTCCTTATGAAACAACATTTTAAATTTCTTAAGCTAAATTGAATAACAACTGACAAGTGAAAAAATGCATGGATGTTGATGTGTGGTTCAGTTGCCTCTATATGCATTGAATAAAAACAATTGAGTTTGATATTAAATTCTCCTCTAATGGAAATGTGTCACCTGGGAGCACCTTGAATCTACTGTGATACAGAGCTGGAAGAAGTATTCAGATGTTTTACATAAGTTAAAGTTACTAAACTGCAAAGTGAAGGCACTCATTTAGTATTCACAATATGAACTCTAAGTACCAAACTATTATTTACACATATTTGTAGATTATTGGCCAAAGAATTGTATATTATTATTTATAACATTTTGGATGATTTGACAAGTAGTCAAATTTGTCTAAAAAGTATTTGGAAATGTTGCTTGATTTGAATGGAACATTTGCTAGGCGAAAATCTACCTCAGTCGTTGTTCATCAACACAGAACAATTTTCTTTTGGCATCAACAGCACGAAAACAAAATGTGTAACAGCTATGTTGTCAAAGTAGCAGCAAAAAGAGCCAATCTAATATACTGCTCACTTGCGACACCTTTGGACAACTTGTTTTGGTTTTGTTGTTATTATTAGACTGTCCGAATAGTTCCCCTTTATGGGCAGTAACCAATCGGATGGGTGTGGTAGAGACATAAAAACCAGGTACTTCTCAAAGCCTGAGCATATTTGTGCAGACGTTTCATGATCAGCTGTATTAGGGAGCGACATCATTTGTGTTTTCTATCGTTAGTTAGACACAGAAAACATTGTCAATGGCGTCAGGAAACTATGGGGAAATGAGCGGGGAGGATATGTGTGAGTACCTGAGAGAAAAAGGACTTGGAAGGTGGGCAGATGCATTTAAAGGTACGTTTCTGGTTTGGTCATTTAAATTGATGGTTAGGTTTTATATCATCGTTGGCCTAATTGAGTAAGCTGTTGCAGAAAAATGCTTTAGTTTTTCTTTTAGTCATAAAAAATGCAATGTGATACAGGACTGTAATTCACTGCATCTTCTTTTACCCAGAAAAGTCTGTTATCAAGCTGCGGGAGCTCAATGGTGGTGTTCTGGTTGGGAAGGGCATATAGTGAGTATCATCCCTTGTCAAACCAGGTTGCAATTTAAAAAAAGATATAACATCCTGAAAAGAAGGAAATGTGTTGCACATTTTTCTGAAGCATTGGCACTAATTTGGTGCAACAACTTCCCCCTGGCTTGACTTTTATCTTATAACCTACTATGATTTTTTTTCACGATTTCTTTAGTCAACCTGAGGATCGTCAGAAAATCTTGGATAGTATCTTGAAGATCTGGCCAGCAGCTCCCAAGGTGATATAATATTTAGTTTTATGTATCGCTTCACACTACATGTTCAGGGCCTTCAGAAGAAATGGAGCTTGTTTTAGTTGTACTCTTTAGGGTCATCATTTGACAGGTTTTTTGTTGTACGTATTCTGTTAGGTGTTTAATGATCCAATCCACGGACATATGGAGTTGCACCCTCTTCTTGTCAAGGACACTCAAGTGGTAATTGGGTGATGACTTTTTATTGGTGTTTGCTGTATGCTTTGGTGAAGGGTGGGGTACTTAGCAGGAGAGCTTGTGAAAGCTCTGAAGGAAAAGCAGGATCTCAACATCACTGACAGAGACATCCTTTGTGTTAAGATTGCTGGGCTATGCCATGACCTGGGTGAGTGATACACACCTTTCACTTTATTATGTGATAGTTTATAAAAGAATAATTCAACAACAAAATGACCATTTGTATACAACAATTTCTTACCCTGTATTACCTGTTTAGTTATTTAAGTTTTTCTCACATACACTGTGAACAGAGAATAATCAAAAATCAAAAATGCAATATATATATATATTTATAGAATGTTAAAATGTCTCACTTCAGTTTGTTTTATAGCCAGCACCATCTGCTTAAAATATTTATATTTCTCCGTATATAGGACATGGACCCTTTTCCCATGTTTTTGATGGAATGTTCATCCCCAAAGTAACACCCCCATCTGGTCCACTAGGTTAAAAAATGAAAACCTGGAAGGTGAGAAGTTATTATTCCTATTGTCTGTAATGTGTGACATTATACCCAACAACAGAAATAAAACACATTTATAAAACACAGCCAGCAGCTGCATGTCATGATCTGATCATGTTTTTTCAATCTGTGATTTTGACTGTTCTACCGTATTGCAATACTACATGGTACAAGTGTTTGTCTTCCGCCTTAAAGTCAAAACTGCTCCACCAGTTGAAAATCTTCTCAAAGATTGTAGGTCACTGTGAGGAATTCTATGAATCAACCTACCATACCGTAGTGAGGCTAGCCATCAACATCTCTGATCCCCAACATGTTTTCAAACATTTCCTAAATTGGGATCAATAAAGTACTATCTTATCTTATCTTATCTTATGTTCTGAACAGTGAATAGGTCTGAGGTACAAGGTCCCACGATGTAATAAAGCTAGACTGAAGCACTCCTTTGTGCACCAGTCCATCCTCAAATTAAATACAGAGCTCAATCCCAGGTCAAATGTGCACTTGAGAGTCTTAAGCATGTTTTCTCTTCAGTGATTGTTATTGTGAGACTGACCATTGAGCGGCCCGACCAAGCAAGGAGGCAGAGGCAGAACGTCCAAATACAACCCGGTGTGGGCATTTATTCATCATTGACACATGATTCACAGCCTCAGTTGCTGTCCACCTGAAGACAGTCAGCAGCCACAAGGATCTCACACCAAAATCACAAAACTCACAGAGCCTAAATACCCACAGACTAATCAATCAACAAGACACAGGTGAGGGGGGAGGAGACAACACAGGGCACCAGGTGAACACAATCAGGAGCAACAGACAAAACGGGAGGGGGAACACTTTCAAACTAAACCACATGTGCAATATTACAAGGCCCGAAGCCGTCAGTCCACAGTGACGAAGTTACCTTCGTCACAGTTATGTTAAATGTTTGTTTCCTTGTATCGTGTTTTAATATTTGTTCCTGTTTGATGTTGCAAATGGAGCTGCTATGATGCAAGAAACATGTCAGATTTGATCTGACAATAAAGAATTATCGTATCTTATTACACATGCAATATTTTACATTCAATGCGGCATTGCCTTTAATTAATTAGTTGTATTTTGTTGCTTTTTTCAGTCAAAAGCAATAAAGCATAATCCTTTCCAAAATGATGCACTATTCCTTTAAGCACAATTAGTTGTGGCATTCATGGTATTATGAGACACATGCAGGGTACTCTCTCAAATTATATTATAACTACCTTTGTCTGCTTTCTTCCAGGAACTTCTTGAAAGGTTTTCCTATAAATATATATATATAAAAAAAACTGGGCAAGCTTACATATATATATATATCTTCATATTCTACTCTTAATTCAGGCGTTTCAGTTTAATTAAAGGGTAAATGGAAACAATATCACTTTAACTTATCAATATGAAATGTAATGATTACACAATGTATTGGCATACAGAATAATGACACGCCTCACATTTATTGTTTTATGGATGCTTTTCATTCTTATCTTTCCCATTTTCCCTTACACAATAGAATGGATGTTATTCTGACTTATTATGTTTAAATAACCATTACATTTGTGTTAAATATCAGCAATAACTTAAACATGTATGAGAAGAGTGGGAGTGGTGAAACATCTGGTATAGGGGGAGCGGTGCAAACCAGGCTGTTGCTTTACAGAGCTCCCTGTCGTTATGCAAGTTTTGGCAGAAGACCTGTCATTTGGTAAACATATACTGTCATGTTTTCAGCAAAGCCAGGCCCTTTCTATTCAAACAGTGAGTCATTGTTCATTTTTATCACTTTGAATTCTCATACTAATATATCAATGAATTTGTGTACCTTGCAGCATGAGGACGCCTCTGTAGAAATGTTCGACCACCTGATGAAATCCAATGAGGATCTGCAGTGGATGATGAGGGCATGTGGCCTGAAGCTGCCCAAAGACTTGCTCTTCATCAAAGAGATGATTCAACCCCCGGCAGCTCAAGAGGAAGTGAGTCATGCAATTTGAATGTAATGATATCAGTTTTATCATCGTAATTGCTACAATAGCCAATGCCTAATGCCAGCCACTCTGTGCAGTCATCTCCACAGTGGCCATATAAAGGCCGTCCAGAGGAGAAGTCCTTCCTCTATGAGATTGTGGCCAACAAAAGAAGCGGCATTGTTTGACTACTTTGCCAGGGGCTTGGTTCAACAGCTCGGTTCACTTTTTAATGCAATAAAACAAATGTGTATTAAACCAATTAATACACATTTAAAACATAGTCCTGGTTATTTAAAGAACATGTAGCATTCTCCTGGTGTCTTGGATTAGTTTTTGTAATAAGCACATTGTCTTAACTTGTCTTGCCTTTGTCTCCTATCAGGGACAGCTACCACCTGGGCATCAAGAACAACTTTGACCATGGCCGCTTCATAAAGTTTGCCAGGGTGTGTGAGGTGGACGGGCAGAAGCACATCTGCACTAGAGACTAGGTGCTGACTTTGTTACATCTGCTTTTTGATCAGCTTTTATAACAGCAATCAATGTAAATGATTAGTGGTAACCAGTGGCGTTTTTATATGTACAAAAGTGGTGGGGCACAAAAAACTTAGATGTCTATATATAAGCTTCTGCTGTGACGTGCAGTGAGGTTCATGGCTGGTGAGGCACTGGCACTGACTCTTCAGGTTTACAAATATTATATTTTGACCTAAACCAAAATATTATATTATTTTCAAAAGCTTTTTTTGTCTGATGCTTTGATTAATTTTAAACAGACAGTTCAACAAAAGGATACCCAAACAATGTAATTTTATCATTTAAATATTGAATTGTTCTCTCTTAGTAAGATCCCATTTTCAATAAAATTGCGATCTTACCTTGACTTGAAGATGAAGTCCATTTGCCTATCGTTCTGGACAAAGATTTCTATTACTTTATTGTAAAAGTCCTCCTTATCTTCTGGTAGTTTCAAAAGTCTATCATAAATCTAATCGATAGATTTACAATTCAAAAATTATAAAAGTAGGGTAGACATGTGGATATTATCCGGCTGAACAAAACGTGCATTTATCTAACAGGTACGTTTCCCACAGATCTTATTTCGAGCTATTTTCTAAAATCCTATGTAGAAACCTCATTGCTTTTTTGTCGAGGGAAGCCTCGCAGCTTACTTCCTGGTTTTAGGACGCGTCACTGCACCTCTCTCGTCTCCTCTTCACACACCACACTTTTCGCGGCACACGTACTTACAGCCAATCAGCTCTGAATTATGTGAGATGACGTATGGTGGGGATGGCAGCACAGTGCCCCTATGGTCATCATTCTTTTGCCACACACATTAAATAGGAAAATACTCTGAGCATGCGCAGTGTAGTTTTTACAGTCACCATTCACTTAGACAGTGAGACGGAGGGGCATGATCAGGTTTTGTCCCACATGGCTCTAAATAGCTCAATAGGCAAACACTGTAGACACTAATTAGAAGAACACAGACTAAAACAGCAATGTACTGTACAGACGAATCAGATGATTAAACATGATCTTAAAATATATTTTATATATTTCTTTTTTTTTTTTTGCATCTTTTGTAATCATTATTTGTAATACTTTCTGCTGACACTAGGTGGGGCTGTGCCCCTAATGACCAGTCGCCACTGGTGATTTGTAAAATATCCATAAAGAAAAAGAAAATCTGCTTACAGTTCTGTTTCATATGGATGTTTAGAGATGTATCCATACTGTAGATCTCTTAATGTTGCTCTCAAAGTGCACCAGATTGATGCTTTTAACTTCAACATTTAAAAAAAAATCTTCCCGGGGGAGCATGCCCCCCGGACCCCCCTAGAGGAGGTTAGGTCCCCCCCCCCCACTTAAATCATGTTCACATGGATAGGAAACTAAATTGCACACATCTTGTGTCCATATATTTCTGTTTTGGTGGTCACGCCACAACCGTGCACGTGCATGCATACGTGAGTCATGGTAAGATATCTGGATTAAGAGGTTTCTTTTTCTTTGCACATCATGAAAGAAATGAATGGGCTGTGATTTTAGTTTTTTTAAGCAGAGGTCAATAATTTGAGAGGAAAAAGGTTCCCCACCCCTGTTCTACATAGATCATAGTGGGGATTTAGGCTTTTTAGAGGAGTGTTTGTGAGAGCCTGTATCTCTAATGGATGAAAAATACATAGAAGGTTTATGAATAATGCTTTGCTTTATTGTTAAAACACAAGCTCACAGCCCACAGTGGTTTCTGCTGATCCTGGATGAAAGAAAGATATTATCACTTTTATGCTGACCATACAAAAGATTTGATTATGAAGCAAATTAAATTATTAAAATCAGAGTGAGAAGGGAAGATACTAGAGATGGCAAATCTGGATCCTTTTACGGACTCAGGGTCTTCTGAGTCAGTCATTGAAGAGATCCGGATCATACGAGTCATTTGAGTCATATGAGTCAGCATCACCAAGACCGTAGAAATCCTATCGGTGAAACCGAAAAGTTGTTGCATTTCACGAGCATATTAAACTGACGTTATATTAACCTCCGCTACACAGTGTATTTTGCTTTAATAAAAAATGTTGATCACAAAAAAAAGGGTTATTTTGCGATTTGGCTAATCTGAGTCTGCTGTTGACTCGTGCATGAGGACGAGTCTGCTGGATCTCTGGATCTGCTGCTATATGGCTACGGCTCTGAGTCCGCACGAGTCTGCTCTGCTGTGTTTTGCACAGTGAGTCAGGATTTGCGAATCTGAGTCTGTGAAGTGCCGCTGACTAACTCGTAGGCTACTGGTCTCTCTCGATCATTGACCTGGATTCACGGATCCCGCGGTTTTGATTAAGTCCATTATGTTTCCCGCTCTAAATGAAGTTTCAGTGTAGTCTTCTAACAAAATTGTCATGTTGTGCAACAGTCTCCTGCGTGTAATAGCTGCATTTCCAATAAGGATCTTACTTGGCAAAACGTTTATTTTGAACATAGCACACAAAAAGA